CTAGAGTGAGAACTAGTATCTTCCCTGCCTAGCCGGTCTTCAGAACTATTCAAACTTTAAATTAGCCAATGTTCTTTATAACATCTCTAGTAAGGGTAAATAATATTATTGCTCCTATTTAGCACAACACAATATGCATACTTCCACAACAAAATTTTTCTACTTATTACTGATTCATGATAAGGAAAAAGATATTTTCATATTTAGTGTTTTTTGCTACAAAAACTCAAGTTATCTTTTTAAGTTTGTTATGTTTTTGTCAAAATATTAAAATTAACAAAAATATTTAAACTTTCTTTACTGCGAAAACGTCTTTAGTTTAAATAATTGTCTTTTTAAAAATAGAAAGTTTTCCGAAAAGTAGATATTGCATATCTTCCCTATGGGTTCGATATTCAGGTCTTAATCAAAAAGTCCTATATTATTTGATAACGATACATATACTTGCTTAGTATCCCACTATATATAAATTAAAAGTTAAATTCATATTTTTTTCAAGATCAAGTTTTTTGGTTTTTTTACGAAATAAAGAAATATAAGTGAAAAATATAAACAGAATTATTGTTATACTGTTGCATATAAGCAGTTATCGGGGATCACCTAACCACAGGTTTAGGGACCAAACTCAGGATTAATCAATGTTCTTTATGCACTCGAGAGAGGGTATTGAATAGGATTACTCCTATTTGACACAAAACAGTTTTTAAATATATTTTTCAAATGTATATTTAAAAAAAAATGTTTTCCTAACCTAATTATAAACTCATTGCAAAGAGAATGATGTTTTATACAAATTTGAACTCTTGAAACATTATTAGTAGTGGTAACTTTATATTTTAAAGTCCTTTTAGATTAACATGCATTTACATTTTGCAATTGCTTAACATATTTAACAAAAACAACGCAAAAACAACAACAACAATAACAACAACAAAGCCTTAAATTGCTTAGCATACTTAACATTCATTTTAATTCTGTAGGATTAGATATTACACAAGAATTCAAAATCATTTTCTATATAAATTTACTACAATTTTAAAGAAGAATTTATTTAGTCAATCTTATAAGAGTTTTGTCTATCTCCGTGGGATTGATACTGGGGTTTTAAAAGAAAATCTTATATCATTTAAAACGATATGTATACTTGCGTAATACCTCTAGTGTGTAAATCATTTTTACTATCTTTAATTAATATTTAATTTTGCACATTAGCCACTGAATGTAAATTGGGTCAAGATTTTGACCATATTTCTGAACTTAAATAATTGCGTAGTTGCGGTGTCGGGTCAGTTAGTACAAGATATTTTAGTCTTTTATGTTGGTGTGTATTGGTGGGTACCTCATCGACATCATGATTAGTTATTTTGGAGTTGTTCTGTCAGAGAGAGTTGTCGGGTTCAGGTGGCCGGTCCAAGGAAAAGTTCTCCGTCAGTGAAAAAGACTTCTGTCGGGGGAAAAGTCAGTCGAGAGTAGCTAATTCGACGGGAGCGGACTGCAGATTGCCTTGAGATCTATTCAGACAACTTTTATGTAGACAATGCCAGACAATTATTTAAATTGGTTTAGCCAAAAAAAAAATCAAGATATATTTACAAATTAAGCACCCAATGAGCTTTTTGAACCACCAAATTAATGTATTTATGAGTGTCAAATTAATGTAGTTATTCGAGCATTTTGGTTGCATTGAGTATCAATTGTATCATGGTCAAGCCAATCAATGTCAAGACCAATCAAGATCAAGACCTTGATACCAAATTAATGTATTTATGAGTGTCAAATTAATGTATTTATTCGAGCATTTTGGTTGCCTTAATATATATATTTACGAGCTTTTTGAACCAGTCAGACAATTAGGCCTCCCGGTTTTTATCAGGAAGCCCGCCTTTGATATGCCTTTCATGTTCGTACCGTCAGATATCCTCAAGATTTGTTTAGGCATTTTTCTTGTATAGACTTAAATTAGTTAATCATTAGTAATAACTTTATTAAACTAGTTATAGTATATAATAATTTAACATTAATTATTTAATAATTAAATACTTATTTATTTTGCTAATTAATAATTAATAATTTTTATTTTAAATAAATTAATTTAATATATACTTTTCTTGTTAACTGATAATTAAATAATTAAATATACATTTATTTAGTTATATTTAATCTGATAATATAATAATTAATTAATTAAATCAAACCCCAAAGCCATTTCTCCTTCACCTTTCCAAACCCTTGAAGAAGTGCGACAGAGAACGAGTAATAAGAGCCCTAATTTCTCTCTCTGCAGTTAGGCCCTTCTCCGGTCTCATCCCAAGCCATGGCCACAGCTGCCATCCCTCCTACCGCCCCTGGTGATGCGGTGGATGATGACGGCTTCGTTGAATACATCCCAGTGAAGAAGCGCCGAGCTATGGAGGCGCAGATGATCCTGCAGCGTAAAGGCCGCCTCTCATTCTCTTCGACCGCCACCAGTGTCCCCTCTTCCTCCGACGACCCCACCTCCTCACTTCCTCCGCCGGAATCTAAGCCGAGCCTTCTCGTCAAGGCTTCCCAACTCAAGCGCGATCTCCCGGAGATCAGCCCTGCCGAGCAACTCGTCCAGCAAGAGAAAGAGATGATCGAGCACCTCTCAGATAGGAAAACCCTAATGTCCGTTCGCGAGCTCGCCAAAGGTATCACCTACACGGATCCGATTCCCACCGGCTGGAAACCCCCCACCGCCATCCGCCGAATGTCTAACCGCCAAGCCGACGCCATCCGCCGCCAATGGCACATCCTCGTTGAGGGAGATGATGTCCCGCCTCCCATCAAGAACTTCAAGGATATGAGGTTTCCTGAGCCTATTTTGAAGAAGCTAAAAGAGAAGGGGATCGTTCAGCCAACCCCTATCCAAGTGCAGGGCCTGCCTCTGATTCTCTCTGGCAGGGATATGATCGGGATTGCATTCACTGGATCAGGGAAGACTCTGGTGTTTGTGCTTCCCTTGATCATGTTGGCACTCCAGGAAGAGATGACGATGCCCATTGTGCCTGGGGAAGGTCCATTTGGGCTTGTTGTGTGCCCGTCCAGGGAACTTGCAAGGCAGACTTTTGAGGTGGTGGAGCAGTTTCTTGTTCCCCTCAGGGAGGTTGGATACCCAGATATTAGGCCATTGTTATGCATCGGAGGAGTTGACATGAGGTCGCAGCTCGAGGTTGTTAAGAAAGGGGTTCATATCGTTGTTGCAACACCTGGGAGGCTTAAGGATTTGCTGGCGAAGAAGAAGATGAATCTGGACAACTGCAGGTTTTTGCATCATTCTCTCTTAATTTTTTGACAATTTGGATATTCTTGATTCATTTTAATTAAGGGAAGATTCACATACATACCATTCAATGCTTATGTATTTACATATGTAACACCTTAGCTTCAATTTTTACATACATGTCACCTTCCCTTGGCATGAAAAGGTGTATTTCACTGCTTAAAAGTTAAAACATGGGTATTTTTTACAGGATATGAAAGATTTGGGTGATATAAATGTAAAATTAATTTTTTGTTTGATATGCAAATACATGAAAATTGAGTGGTGTGTATGTACTGGTGTTAACTTGTTGAAAAATTTACATACATCCCACACAACTCTTATGTATTTACATATATAATGCCCTAAAATTTGATCTTGATATTTATAACATTTTGATGTCATAAACCTATGCACATGAAACGATGTATCTCACTATTATAAGTTAGTAATGGTGATATATATGATGTGTTGTTAAGGATTTGAGTGTTATAGATGTGAATATAAAAGTTTAGGTGTTAGATATGTAGTCATGTAAGAATTATGTATATATATTTCTTTTCATTCTTGGTTGCGAGTTTATTAGGTATTTGTACTGTGTTTCAAATTAGACAAACAGCCCCTTTGTTCTTTCTCTTGCCATAGTTAATCTTAAGAAATTGCGGTTTATCTTCCCCTCTGTTCTTGTAGCTGAAAGGGAACCATTGCTGCTTTATTGTGGGGTGTTAAATTCTTAGAAATAGTATATTCATACCATGACTGGTATTACTACGCTTCTGATTTGGAAAGATGGAAGCATTAGGTGATCGTATGTTAACATAAAACTTTTTTCTTTGGCTGGTGATTATTGCAAAAGATTTAAACCTTTATATGGGTTTTTTTTTTCTTGTTATGCCTTAGTTTGTTGCTGGGAAGTAAGGAATATGTTGCCTGCAATTTTTTTTCCTTTAAGTTGGAGAATGGATGGCTTGAAAAGAGAAGAAAATCCTTTTAAAGGTGGGAGCTTTACTACCTGTGCGCTTAAGTGGTTGGGCGATAAATTAATGACTTCCTCAATAAATTAATGAATTCCTCCATAAAAGAATGACTTCCTCCATCCTTCCCTAGTTTAGATCCCATATTACAATTTATGTGCTCTGGTAATAAAGATAGGAACTTTTTGTGAGTGGTTTGTGGTGAATATTTTTATAGGTCTGGAGATTTATGTTGTTTCTTTTATGTGCAGGTATTAATATCTTTGGGCATTTACATACAAACCACCCAATTTCTATACATTTACATTTGTAACATCTAAACTTTGCGCTTTACATTTATACCATCCTAATCTTTAACATCACATAAAAATGCCACTTTTTAACCTTTAAATTGTTAAATACACCTTTCCATGGTTATAAAAAAGTGTTTTATATGTAAAAAATTAATTTTAGTTGTTAGATATGTAAATACATACGAATTGAGTTTTATGTATGTATATCTTCCTAATTTTTTTTCAGATCATTTGGCTTATGGACTTGAATTTTGTTACCCGTGTTGTTTGATTCTACATCCTTAATGGCTTTGAGAGAGTAGCGGCTTTGAGAAACTGATAATTCAGTTTTACCACTTGAGTAATCAACATTTCTACATATAAGAGTAAGTAGAACAATGATTTGTTATTATTTTTCTTAAAAGCAAACACAATTATCATAATTGCTTCTCTTAAACTCTTGAGCAATTATGAAATAAATCTAATTTGTTATATCACTTCCTAGGACATTGTTTCAAACCGTAAAAAGATTTCTTCAATAAATAAATACGATTTTCTTTTCCTGTAACCATGAAGCTCTCAGCCTGCTGCATATAGATCTTCGCTTCAAACTCTCTATGTAAAATAAGGTTTTTACATCTAACTGCTCAAGCTCAAGTTAATGCTTAGACATAATATCATGTAAAACTCAAATTAAACTATTCTTAACTATTATAGAGAATATATATCTATCCTCTACACTTGGAATTTGATTGATTCTCTTTGACCAACAATGAGTTTGGGGCATTAAGGAAAAATGGTTGGATAAAATAATGTGACCAAATATCTTATTTTTAAGTCCATAAGGTTTTCAAGAAATGGAATTCATCTTTTGAAATATAATGATATATATGAGAATGACGCCACATGTAATCTGAGACAACATACATGATATATCAAAAACAATCATGCTCAAAACATGCTCAAAACATGGAAGTGATGAATTAAACAAGATGAGACCTCGCTGCATATGAATCAATTAATTATAATGAAATATGAATAACTTTCCATATCGTTAGATATAAAGATGTTTGAGCTGATGGGAAAGAGCTTTTGGTATTGCCCACATGGACCCACCAAAAAACAAAAAGTTTAGAAAATTAATGCATCTTCGCCTTCACTAAACCCAAGTTCTGAAAATTGTTATAAAACCTCATATACCCTGTTATATGCAAAAAGTTATCAACTATAATACAAGTCACCTATATTCAAATAACAACCCTCTAAGTTCAGTAAATAAATATAGCATAATCAATTATTCTAAAGTAAAATGCTAACCTCAATTTCAAATAAGAATAAAGCATTAACAATAACTCAACTCCAACATATTCTTATCTTCCTTCGTTTTGGCATCTATGGGTTCGATTTGAACAAGTTTGCCATGCTTAATTGGAGTGATCTCTACACAAAAGTGTGAAATTGGTACGCTCATTACCTCAACGAAGCTTGGTTCAGGCATGACAAACCAACTGAAAATATAAAGGTAGTTTACATACGTAGGACTTAAAACATTTGTATTTAAATATCCCAAAACATCAAATTTATAGATGTCGCACCCAAAATCCAATTAACAGATAAAAATGGCACTCAGTCAAGCCATCTATTTCTCCGTTACGTTACGCATTCTCCCATTTCTTATCTTCCCACTCCGGTTTTGTATCATCCGTGCAAACCATTATTTACACTGCTCCATTTTTCTCGTGCTTGAAGCACTTGCATTTGTCTTTGAATTCTCTTGGTGCTCTCGCTGAATTCTGATTCTTAGGACGCCTTACCTTCTCATCTCTTCTTCTTTTCTTCACTCAATCTCAGAAAGCCACATCCCATGTGAATTGTCGGCTTTCTCTCCATCACTCCATCACAGTCATGCTTGGGACATGGTGTTTTTTCCAGCTGGTAATTGCCCATTACATTTGGGAATCCTTTTGGTCAACCTTGGCATTAGTTATCAATGCTTTTCATATTAACTTATATTCAGCCGAGCCTTCAAATTGGTTGCTATCACTATATATATTGGGAACTTTGTATTTTAATCCTAGGTTTATTTAGTAATGTACTTTGAACCCTAGTAATTATTAATTAAATTGGAATTCATGCATATGATTGTCTTCTATTTCGATCCCTGAACGACAATCATTTATTTCAAATCTCTTTCATCTCTGGCTATGATTAAGATAATCTGGCAAGACAATTAGACTAAGATAAGTTGGTAAGTGCAAACGGATGAGCATGTCATGATGTGTGCAACCATGAACGACCAAGTAACATTAGAGTGATTCAATGAGCTCATTTAAATGGGGCTTAGCTTGAGGATATGGATGTTGTCTGGCTTTCATTTCGGGGTAGGAAAAGGGGATCTGAATGACATTGGTAGCTCCCATAGGAATGCTTCCCTGACATTTGCAAAGTTAGGATTGAATCAATGAGTCTAATTGGTTAAATGAGCCAATATAAGGAATTTGTTTTAAGTGAACTGAGGTTTAACTGGGTTAGGTTAGGTTGGGTGAACGCTTGGCTATCTAATATGGGTTTGATAGGTCCCTTAGGTGCTAAAGAGTGTTCTAGTATTGAGGATGAAACCAACTGTGTGTTTTAAAGCCTTGGTGAATTAAATGGGTGAAGTTAGCTAGAGTTTTTGGGTCTACGTCACATTGGTGGAACCATTTGGGTTGTTTAAGGGACCACTGAGGATCTACGAGATGTTCATTGAATCAAGGAATGTGGCTTGATTCAGTAAGGTAAGGTGTAAGGCCTAACTACTCAAGGGAGTTCAGGTTAATGTCATCAGAAAAACTAATTACGATGAAATCATAAGCAAAACATATCACTATAAATGACAAAATTATACGTAACTGAGAAACTAAACTCTGATGAGTTCTGAAATCAAAACATAAATTAAGTTTAAAACTTGCTTAGAACTCAAAATTATGGCTTTTTATAGCATCCATCCAAATAAAAGCTATTATTCATGTTCATAAATTTTACCAACTAAAATTGTTAATTGGAAAGATTTTGATTGGCCACAACAAAACGTTGTCTAGTAATTTTTTGTGCTTTGGGTCAAGGTTTGGTGGTCATGTTATGAGTACGACCAACACATTAAACCCTCCCCCACATATGTCAATGTTGGGAAATTGATGATATGATTGGTGATTGGTTTACAGTGTTTCCTCATAAACTTGCACCCACCCTTCTCCCTCAACAACATCTGGAATGCTTTTGATAGGCTTCATGACGGGCTTGCTAATTGAAATTACTTTAGAAAATTGGTGATTTCCCTAATTTGAGGTTTTGATGGTTTAGGGTTAGAATTTTGGAGGGTTTTGCGTTTTTGGTTTTTGTGTTGGGCGGGTTTAAGGTTTTGGATTTCAAGGGTTAGGGGTTGGGGGCTAGGGGTTCGGGATTAGTGTTCAGAGGGTGTAGTGTATGGGGTTAGGGTTTAGGGTTTGAAGTCAAGGGTTAAGAGTGTTCAAGGTTAGAGGTTTGGTGAGTTTTGGGTTTCTGGGTTAGGAGGGTTTAACATTTTGGATTTTAGGAGTTAGGATGGTTTTGGGTTTAGGCATTTTAACGACATAACTGCTTAATGGCTTATGACTTACGACTTAATGATTTATGGCTAACATCTTACGGCTTAAGGCTTACATGTTACAACTTTATGGTTTTACGGTTTACGACATTATGACTTTTAGGCATTACAACATTATGATATTACAACAT